AAAAAAAAAAAAAAACACAAAACAAAAAAACCCCTCAGTTTCTTCATCTCCAGACCTTCCTCACAGCCTTGTTGTGAGGATCATCTGAAATGTCTGTTACAGAAATTTTCATCTTAATACACAGCATGTTAAATGCTGCAGAGAAAGTGCAAGAAAGAGAGAGAAATAGTGAGAATCACACCCACTCTAGATATTCAGAGAACAGATCAATCAGAAGACAAATTCCACCGAAAGAGTAGATCAGCAAATATAAAATCCTCTGTGTATTTCAAGTCTGCAGTGAATATCCCAGAAAAGCCCTACTGTATCACAAGTGACTGAATTTCAATAAAGCACTATATTATTTACAAGGCCTTTCCTCGCAACAGAAATTTACAGCTGGGTGAAGTGGGCAAAGTGGGCAAATTGTTCAATGAAGTCAACAGGCTCCAAAATTCACTGTAAGTTCAAAATCACATTTCAATATGAAAGCAAAGTCTCTCTGCTCTCACTTTAAATCATAAATCTTTATTAGAAACAGATTCTTTTCAACTACAGTATTTATTTCAGTGAACTACTGAAAGATAACCAATCTAAAAGAAACTAGGGATGCCTGGGTGGCTCAGTTGGTTAAGTGTCTGACTTCAGCTCAAGTCATGATCTCACAGTCTGTGAGTTCAAGCCCCAGATCAGGCTCTGTGCTGACAGCTCAGAGCCTGGAGCCTGCTTCAGATTCTGTCTCCCTCTCTCTCTGCCCCTCCCCTACTCGCGCTGTCTCCCTCTACCTCAAAAATAAATAAACATTTTTAAAAAATTATAAATAAATAAATAAAAGAATTACAAACTTGGGCTTTCTTCAAAGGTCAATGTTACCCAAAATCTGATTTGAAGCTCATGAAGGGGCTTCACAAAGGAATGGAGAAAAAAAAAGTGTCATCATTTGGCAACGAGCAAGGGAAATCGGGTTACATTTCAGTTATGTACAGCTGATTCACTTATCTCTAACACACCAAACATCAGACCCCAAAGCAGCCAGTTTCCTGCACACACCTACTAACTTAAACTCAAAGGGCAGTATTTAAAAGATACAGAATCAAGCAAAGGGTTAGGCAAATTGGCATTCATACACGAGAAAGCTAAAACCATTAGGTGAAAGGGTCTCGGGGGACCTTTATAACAGATGGGTCAGGGTAACACCACGTGAGCCCACAGAACCTGAACATCACGGAAAGAGGGACAAGCAGACCTTACATGACCCGGATGTGATGCAACAGATGTACAAAGCACCACCCGTGAAATGTTGTCAGCAAAAAGTTTAAACTTGAAACTATTCAAGCATTACTAGTTTAATGAAAATAGAAGACGTTTAACAACATCACAAGGATACAATGTGCAACCTCTAGAATGTGGGAAATTCTACAGGACAAATGAGCCATTTCTTCAACAAATAAATGACATAAAAATAAAAGGAGGATTGTTTTACAAAGACACTTAGGGGTGTTTCAACCAACCGCAATGTGTGGACTTTGTCTGGATCTTGATCTGAACAAGCCAAATGTGAAAGATATTTCTGAGATAACTGGGGGTAACTATACATACACTGGCTACTGGACAGTAAAAATTAGAGATTTTTACAGTATGTCCAGATGAAAAAAAATAAAAAAAAAAAAGCATGTCCAGGTGAAGCAAATGTGGCAAAATGTTAACAATTACTAAGAGGTAGGCATCATACTAATCTATTTTCAGTATATTTGAAATTTTTCACAATGAAAAATTAACATACTAATAACATTCTGTGTGACAGGAATCCCTCTCGATCATGCCAACGCAGCATTTCATTTCCACCTCGATCCTCGTTTTCCCATCATTTGCCCCCTCGAGCTCAAAGCTGTGACACACACTGAAGAAATATGATGTGACATACCTGTAGTGGCAGTGGCTAAAGTGACAAGATTCTTTCTTAGCATATCATAGAGAGGGCTGTCAGAGAGACAAAAAAAAAAAAAATTAATAACCCCATGGTTTTCCAATTTAGATGTTATGTGTCTATCTGATATGTGATCTTCCAACTTTCTCTATAACACACAAAAAGGCAGATATTTTTTTCCCCCAGGATAGATTTGTTTGTAATCATTTAAAAGTCAAGAATGTTAATGCCCAAGCCCTTTTGTTACTTTGCCCTCATTAAAAAACTAATTAATTTACATTTTATTTAATTAGCTAACAGCCCAAGATTTCCTTTAGAGACCATTCCTTCCTTCTAGAAATTTTTATAATTTTAATTGGGGAAGGGGTGGAAGGGAGTCTTACCAATATAAGACAAAATGAGCTCAGAAGAAACAGTCATCACAAAGCTATCCAAAGAGAACAACTGGCTTCCCAATTACCTATTAGCTTTTGACTCTGTAACAACCATTTACACCCCATGCAGCTGGAGAAAGTCACACAACAGGTCAGAGGACCTCTACCGCGATTCTTGAGGCCCACCATCAACGTCGAGCTGCCCGGCAACACTGCATTTCTCTCACCAGCTCACTTTCCTCTCTCTACAATGGCTTCACAGAATCCTAACCTAGCCACATGAAGCTCCTCCTACCCAGGCCTTTGCACACGTGCAATCTGCCAGAAGCTCTCCTTCAACACTCTCCTTCGGGCCCCTCACTCCTTAGTTCTCTTTCAGCTCTCAGTTCAAACCACTTCCTCAAGGAGCATTCCTTTGACTCCTAAGACCCTGAATCCCACCCCCAACACAGCTGCATGTACCTCTTTTCTGTAACACTTACCCACGGTATAATTTTACCTTGTGCTGGTGTGATTGTCTGATTAAGATGGGGAAGCACATCTACTGTCTAACTACCCTTTAAGTGCCATAGAATCTGAGACTGCGTTGCTCACTGACTTGTTCTCAGTGCTTCACAGGCTACCTGACATACAAAGGCCCTTAAATATTGGTTGACTAAAAAAAAAAAAGATAACCATTAATAACCTATGGAGACTGAGTGGTTAGACAGAAGCCCCCAAAAAGATAAACCAACCTTCGCTCTCCCTACCTTGGATCTTTCACGGAGAAGCTCTGACGTCCTAGCAGTTCTCCCAGAAGATCTCCACCACAATACACCATATGCTGCTCCTGCTGGTCATAAAGCTGCTTCACCATTATGTACTGGCCTAGATAGTGCATGACCTACATGGTGATAAAAAAGCACGAAGAAGTCTGTGCAGCTGCTCCAAAAGACACAAATTCATTATGAGAAGATAGTTTGCTAGAGAAAGAGGAAACATTTATGAACATGACTGTCATGCTCGAGAAAGGAGTCCTACAACAAGAGAGCTGTCCTCAACCACCAGGCTCATCCACTTATTCTCATGCTGGACGTTAACAGACTTACTTTTTTTTAAGTTTATTTATTTTTGAGAGAGACAGAACATTAGGGAGACAGAGAATCCCAAGCAGGCTCCATGCTGTCAGTTCCACAGAACCCCAACAAGGGCTCGATCTCACAAACTGAACTGTGAGATCACGACCTGAGCTGAAATCCAGAGTCAGACGCTTAACTGACTGAGCCACCCAGGTGCTCCCAAACTCTTACTTTTTAGAAATGTAGGGTTTGACAATGATAAAAAGTGAATTTTCCTAGTACTCCCTTAAAATTTTTTCTTTTCATTTTGAGAGAGAGAGAGAGAATCCCAAGCAGGCTCCACACCAGCAGTGTGGAGTCCGATGGGGGACCCAAACTCATGAACTTGAGATCATGACCTGAGCCAAAACCAAGAGCTGGACACCCAAATGACCAAGTCACCCAGGCACCCCATCCCCTTAAAAATTTTTTCACCAATCCAGATAAAGACGTCTGTTCTATCATTAGAAGTAATAAACATTAAATGTGCCTGGGTCATAAAAGTATTTTCCAAGTCCAGAGACCCATAACTACAAGAGGTTTTTGATGCATGTTCACTTGTTTTTGGCAAATGAAGTACAAGGGTTAATAAGCCGTAAGTGCATAAAACATAGAATCTAGTGTTTATCAATAAAAGTTTAGCCTATCTGGCTTTTTTCAAAGTTCACAACAATGGAAGGAACTCAGACAAGTTCATGATTCAAAATTTTTAAGTTATCTATTTTTTTCATAATGTTTTCTCTAGGTAAATTTTTTTAAACTGCTTAATTAAATTCCCTTAATGACAATAAGAATTTTGTTATCACAAACAGGCCAAAGCAGCTATTTTTATTTTTAGGTCCCAACTTCTCAGGAATTATTAGGTATCTTCACAGAAGATTTTTCCAACCCTGTTCCCACTATTGGTACAAAAATGTTCCCAGGTTCCCCTCCATCCCAAGCAACATTCTGTCCCAGTGTTAATGGTGCTGTCATACCTAACCAAATATCTAGGGGGAAATAAGATGGGGAAGAGCACCTACTGGAAGAAAAAGGAGAAAGTTTTATATTTAGCCTGTCCAACTTGTAAAAAAGAAATCCACTGTAAGTATGCAAAATAAGATCTTCTACAACACTACTCTACATGAGTACGTAATTAAATGTTTGCAGCTCCCACCGCACCACCACCGCCACCTCCAGCTCCCGGGCCCCAACTGAAGAAGGAGGGGGGTAAGTAAGAAATTCGCTATATCATGGCTTGCCCAAAGCAGACTGCTCCCAAATCGACGGGTGGTATAGCACCGAGGAAGCCACTGACTACAAAAGCCCCTGGTGAGAGTGCGCCCACTACTGGAGGAGTGAAGAAACCTCACCATTACAGCTCTGCTACTGTGGCGCTCCGTGAAACTCCACAGAACTTGTGATTTGCAAACTTCCTTTCCGGCATCTGGTGTGAGAAACTGCTCAGGACTTCAAAACATATCTGTGTTTCCAGCGTGCCGTTATGGGTGCTTTGCAGGAGGCAAGTGAGTGAGGCCTATCGGTGGGCCTTTTTGCGAGACCAGTGCTCTAACTCCTGAGCTACGGAGCCTCGGTGGGCCTTTTTGAAGACCAACCTGTGTGCTGTCCATGCCAAACATGTAACAATTATGCCAAAAGACATCCAGCTAGCACACCACACACATGGAGAATGTGCTTAAGAATCCACTATGATGGAAACTATTTCATTCTTTTAAAAAACTATTTTTGGGGCGCCTGGGTGGCGCAGTCGGTTAAGCGTCAGACTTCAACCAGGTCACGATCTCACGGTCCGTGAGTTCGAGCCCC